ATAGGGGATTTTATATGTACAAAGTGCGATGGATAAATTGTCGTCTAAATCACGCAATAAATGAAAATGACACTGACATCGTATTTTAACAGATATATTGAACAAAATTACACAAAAAAAATATCTGAAAATGCCAAATTGCAAATTTATTCAATAAAATCGCCATTAGCTTCAACCACGGCCTCCAAAATACTTCGGAATCTCCTGCAATAATTCTAGGCTGTTTCCTAATTCAAGTTGGTGAATGCTGCCATAATCCTTGCCTTCAGTTCATCTTTGGTTTTACAAGGGGTTTTATTGGTCTCTAGCTCAACTACGCCCTACAGATAATAATCAAGGGGGTTGCAATCTGGAAAGTTAGGTGGCTATATGTAAGGTGTGATGTGATCACACAAATTGTCTGATAGCCATAAATAGATTCTCCTGCTTGCATAACATTGTGCAGAGTCCTGTTGTCAGACATAGGGTCTTCCAGCAGTCAGCACTCTTGGTCCAGGGCAGCACTACTTCCCCAAGGTACTTAATATAGGCCTCCGTGTTGAGTCTGAGGTCCTCACCGACAAATTCGGGAGTTCTTATCAGAACAAACAGAGTGAGTTTTCCGATCTGCCGTGTACATTTGTCATCATCATTACACTCATCCAACTCTTTCGAATCTTTTGCACTGTCCTCAGATTGACACCCAAACATTCTGAAATATTCGTATCAGAGATTCCAACGCGAATGCCAAGCGGTACAGCAAACCGTTTCCAAATTTCTGGCGTATTGAATTGCGTCATGGTGCTCTTTTCTCTCACAGACAGTGCCCAACTGACCCTACTATACTGCGCAGTCGACAAAATAAAAAAAAAACAATCAACGCGCATGCGCGAAATTAAAAATATAAACTGGCGACAATTTACCCATCGCACCCCGTACGATGTATTAACATCTCCAACAATTTAACTATCGCACCTTGTAAAATATGTTAACATCTGCGACAGTTTACCCATCGCACCCTGTATAATGTATTAACATCTGCGACAATTTACCCATCGCAGCCATTATAATGTATTAGCATCTGCGACAGTTTAGCCATCGCACCCGGTATAATGTATTAACATCTGCGACAGTTTAGCCATCGCACCCTGTATAATGTCTTAACATCTGCCACAGTTTACCCATCGCACCCTGTATAATGCATTAACATCTGCGACATTTAATCGCACTTAACATCTGCGCACCCCGTATAATGTTTGACGTCTGCGACAATTTACCTATCGCACCCTGTATAATGCATTAACGTCACAGCTGTATATATGTATTAACATCTGCGGCAGTTTACCCATCGCACCCATTATAATGTATTAACATCCGACAATTTATCCATCGTCCTAAATGTATTTGCAACATCGCACCCCTTCTCATCAGAAATGCATTTCAGACTAAGAAGAAAGGGGTTGTCATCGAATAATGCGACGGAGGATTTCTGTATCTTCTAACAATTCTTCGTGATTTTGGAAAGGCGGTCGTCTGAATTGCGTTCTTCCTTCCGAGAAATTCTTGTCTTTTTTTTTTATTATTATTACTCTTATTACTAATTTTAGTATTAGTCATTTTACTATTATAATTAAACTATTAGTAAGAATGTCGATAAGCTGCTTATGTTAATGGATGAGTGAAAAAAAAACAAACAGCTGTCGGCAGTGTCTTTAAAGAAAACACGTACAGCATTTTGTTGAGGTTTTCGCGATAAAATATCCTTTTAATACTCAGATATTTCAAGAATTCTTGATTAAGCCAACGACGTTCCAATGTCATTGGTGTAAGATTTCTTCTTGCAAAGAGGAAACGCTCGCGGCTGTAACGCAAAAAAAAAAAAAGTATGGAAGAAATAGTAAAGAAACAAGAAACAAAAAACAGAAAAGAAGAGAAAAGTAGGTCAAGTCAAGGTCAAAGAATGAAAGACCATAAAAAAATAGAACTGGAAAAGACGGAATTGAAAACGAGATGAAATAACGAAGGAAGCGGACGTTGAAGAATCCAAATCCCAAAGCAGGTGGCAGTTGAAAAAGGCAGGAAGAATATATTCTTGGGCTTTGAATAAAGGGGGGGGGACTTTTTTTTTTCTTTTTTTAAATCTGGTAAGCATGAGTTGGAATAAGCAGGGAGTTTGGGAAAATCTGAATTGAGGGTAAGATTCGACCAGAATTTAATTTGTGTCACTGAAGAATTGTATGCAAATATGCAGTAAATTGTTTATTGGGAGTTAAAACAATTTTCGTCGCTATCAAAATATTTAACGTAAATAAAATAAAAACCTTACAATTCATGTTTCTAATGTCCTTCATTTGTCATTCATTTCTTTAAGGATCGTTATTGTTGTATGGAGCCTTGAACTGTTTGCGAAAAGGGAAGAATAATGTCGAATGTTTTGTTTTGGCTTCCGTAGGTGGATAATATAAATAAAATAAAAACCTTACAATTCATGTGTCTAATGTCCTTCATTTGTCATTCATTTCTTTAAGGATCGTTATTGTTGTATGGAGCCTTGAACTGTTTGCGAAAAGGGAAGAATAATGTCGAATGTTTTGTTTTGGCTTCCGTAGGTGGATAATATAAATAAAATAAAAACCTTACAATTCATGTGTCTAATGCCCTTCATTTGTTATTCATTTCTTTAAGGATCGTTATTGTTGTATGGAGCCTTGAACTGTTTGCGAAAAGGGAAGAATAATGTCGAATGTTTTGTTTTGGCTTCCGTAGGTGGATAATATAAATAAAATAAAAACCTTACAATTCATGTTTCTAATGTCCTTCATTTGTTATTCATTTCTTTAAGGATCGTTATTGTTGTATGGAGCCTTGAACTGTTTGCGAAAAGGGAAGAATAATGTCGAGTGTTTCCCACTTATCAAGCATTTGCTACATTCCCTAGACAAATACCGTAATGGGAGGTGATAGGCAAGAAGAAATATTCCCAGAGTTCATTTCCCCATTATAGGCATTATCATATGCGTGATAGAGTAACACATCGATACAGGGAAGGAACAAAGAAAGGAATGCCAATCATTCATTGTTCTCAAAGAGATTTTATACCAATATATACATACTTATCACTAATTACCTTGAATATTTTTAGTTGCGCAGCCCATCTTATGATGAGCCATATATTATGCAGCCCACGAATGAATTTTTAGAATCGGATGAATTATAATTTGGATGAAGTTTTAGAATGTGTAGCAAGACAATTTCCCAATTCAAAGTAACCCTTTTCTTAGAATGTAATTTTTTTTATAGGAAGTTTCTACGAAAATGATCGCTTGGGATTAGAATAAAAGCAGGGTGTGGAATTTTTCAAATATGTATTAAAGGAGATGGCGGTTAATACAACCCGAGATTCTGTTGCATTCGCTTTCACACAAATGACCTTAGGGACGATAGGAACGCATCTATTCTCCTCCTGCAACAGCTATGGGTTAAATAACAGAGTAGAATGGACTCTTTAGAGAAGGAAAATATAAATTCAAAACCTGGAAAGTAACGCACAAGAAATCCTGGCGATTCAGAGCTAATAAATAAAAGGTAGCTGTGGAGAGTCATAAACGCTTACGTTCTGAATTGACATGACATTTAAAAATTATATGAGGGTGTTGTTACCCACGTGGTTATTCACTTGATGTTCGTCAGCTAGACGAAAAATCATGCTGGAAATTGCAATTACTTGCGAGCTCACGGAAGTTAAGTAAACGTTAATCCTACTCACGATTTATATGGGGGACCACATATAAATAGCAGGTTCTTGAAAGAAGCTGAGGAGAAAGAAAGCAAAGCTGTGTAAATCACCCGTTTATCATTGTTGTGGCAGGCCAATAACGAGACCTTCTGTCAAAGTTCGTGTCTCCGGTGAAGGTGGATGATTACATCAAATTCATTCCAGGAATAAATATTATCTTAGCATTGCAAAAGACCTTACTGACCTGGAGAAGCATGGGCTCGGACAGATCTTCTTTTGCACGCATGAATGAATACTTACCCAGATCTGGTCAGATGCTCAGCAGCGCAACGACCCTACGACCACAATGGAACTGATGATAGTGATGATGATGATGTATATAGCGAAACGGTTGTCGGGGTGAAAATTGGAATCAGAAAGCCGAGTTCAAATTCCGGTCTGTTTCACTCATTTTCGAATTAATTCCCTAAGGGACAAACGCGACCTCTCCACCGAGCTACATCTTGTATGTGAGCGAAGACAAGAGAGCGAAAAGAGAAAGGGTTGAAGATGTCGCCAAGTATTTATTTTAGTTGTAGGTCACGTGACCGACTCCAAAACTTGTTAAAAATATCTTGGCGGAAGCGAGATTGCGTAGGCGTTGTATACATTTTTACATTTACCAACCAATCAGCAATCAGACTTAAATAGAAGCTTCTGTGATCCACAAAATTTGCCGTCGAAAGAAAATATTACATAGAAAATGTATTGAAATCTTTTTCGACCAATAGTATTCGCTGAATCGAAAATAATAACATAATCCAATCAAATGAAAGCAGAATGCTAAAACAGCCTGGACTGATATGCAGGATTCATACAATGGTTTAATAAACAATGGGTTCAACCATGACACTGTCAACCACACACAGAAATTTGTGGATCCCAACACTGGTGTCAAGATAAATCGAGTTGAAGCAATTTATGTGGGTGATTCGCCTTTTTTTTTTTACTTCTGGCATCAAATTGCCACAGAACTTTATCCGTTGTCGAGGGAAAACATGGCGGACTGAGGTGGGGCGAAAGTGTAATAGAGCCAAGAAATGGATAGGTATGTTTTTATCTGAATTTCTAATGGCTGTTGTTAATAGACCATTGTGGAAAAGTGTGTGGCTTCTGTACTTGAATCTGTCCTACGATTACAAAAGTCAAGGAGATGATGATGATGATGATGATGATGATGATGATTTCTTTTTTATTAAAGTTTAGTCTGATATTAAAAGAAAACAGACAAAAATATTTTTAAAAAATGCTTTCTTTTATTTTACGGCATATCAAACTCAACGGATTATTTAATGCCGACAAGATTTTTATTTCTATCTATCTATCTATCTATCTATCTATCTATCTCAGTATATATTGGTTTGGTTTATTTTATTTTACGGCATCTCGGTCTCACGTTGACTGCTGACCTAAGATGGAACAAATACATTGAGTCAATTGCCTCGTCCACCGCAAGGAAAGTTGGCTCCCTGAGCCACACCAGGAAATTTTTCTCCCCGGAATCGATCCTCCAGATCTACAAATCAACAATTCACCCTTGCATGGAGTATTGTTGCCATATATGGTCTGGAGACCCTTCTGTTTGCCTCGGGGTTCTTGATAAGATCCAGAGGCGGATATGCAATATAATTGGGCTTGATCTGGCATCTCGTCTACAGTCACTTTCTCACAGACGCGCCGTCGCCTCTCTCTGTCTGTTCTACAAATACTTTCATGGAAATTGCTCCGAGGAGCTGCATTCACTGGTTCCCAGACATCATGAGTTCAAGCGCCCTACGAGGCTGGCATTCCGCTCTCACCCCTTCACTGTCGAAACTCCTAAATGTAGCCGTCTCTTCTACTCTAATAGCTTCATGTCTCGCACCTCTCACTTCCCTATTCCAGTTCCCCTGAGAGCTATAATCTCCAGCTATTCAAATGTAATGTCAATCGACATCTCCAGTTGCCTTGATCTATCCACTACCCTTCTCCTCACCCTTTCTTCTATCACTCCTATCTGATCTTGCTCTATATTTTCTGTAACTCCTTGCGTCCTAGTGACTTCCCGCCTTGCTTGGGGTGAAATGCTAAAAAAAAAAATATCAACCTCAGTGGGTTATTTAATGCCGATAAGATTTTTATTTCTATCTATCTATCTATCTATCTATCTCAGTATATATTGGTTTGGTTTATTTTATTTTACGGCATATCAACCTCAATAGGTTATTTAATGCCGACAGGATATTTATTGCTGGTATTTTTTTTTTTCAAAAATGTATTCCTGGTCATTTTTTTTCAATGTATAGCTGATAATCTTTTTTCAAAAATGTATCAGTCAGTCAGTTATGTGCCATGCGTGATACACGCGTAGGCGATCATGTATCTTTCGATACCTGACTAACGAGGCAGATTTTTTCCTGCGGTAGGTTGCCATTACTTTCTGCAGTAAGAAGTAGTTATCCAAAGTTATAGAACCCAGTCTGCCCTGATATTTACCCATAGCTGGGGAGAAGAATAGGATTCATACCTTTTCCAAGGGTATTAGCACGTAAGTGAATGTAATGGATTCGCCTGGAATTCGAACTCGGCTCTTCTATTTCCCAATCCGAGCCGCTATCCATTACTCTACCCTAGCTGGTCATATTTTTTTTTTCAAAAATGTATTGCTGGTAATAATTTTCCTTCCAAAATTATTGCTGCTAATAATTTTTTACAAAGTATTTCTGGTATTAAAACCTATTTTTACATTTTCATAGTGTTTTGACCCTAGTTTGAATGTTAACTATTTACCCATAGCTGGGACCCCCAACAGATGCTACCAACCCAGGTCAGGGTTGACCTTGGAACATCAGCAAATAAGAGGTGATTCCAAGCTCTTCAAAACCTCCTGATCAGAGGTCTTGCTGTCGGATGTAGTTTATCGTCTAGCCCAGGACAGAAAAAAAAACAAATACAAAAACACTGGTATTGTCAGTTATATTTGTGTCTTGGTCAGACACATGTCACATGTATTAAAACCCGTGGATATTTATATGTGTATGTAGGTTTGTGATAATTCTTGTATGCCTAAGTGGGCATCAGATAGTAATGTGTATTTGTAATTGTATGTCTATGCCTGTCTAGTTGGGTTTTTATCTTCACATTTGTGTGGTCAGCCTGCGCAGCGGGGAGTCAAAAGGTTCTAATTTATGACCCGCCTCTTTAAGAATGTATTCTTTGTATTAAATATAAGTTAGATTCTTCAAGAATGGCCTCAAAGAAAGATGGCGATGTAATGTAATATTCTAGGCGTGTGCTTATAGTTAATGATAATGTTATTAAGTTTTCAATGTATTTTCTCCTTAAACAATTACGTTTTTTTTAAATTAGGGCGGCATTAGTTAAATTAATGTCCAGCATAGTTTCAATGAAAAACGAGAATGTTAGATCTTTTATCCAAACGCAAGTCTCTCTTGTGTTAGCAGATGCGGGCTTTTAGATCATGTCATGTCTCACCCACATAAACATTATTACATTGTAAACAATTTATTTGATAAATCCTGACATTTGAATTAATGTTAAGTTTAATTTTCTTCCTAATTATATCTTCGATTGTTTTGGAGGTGCTAGTAACGATCCTAGTATTAGGGATGACTAATTTGTTTGTGAGTTTTGTGACCAAGTAAATGGTTAAGCAATAACAAAAACCAGGTTTGCAGATATATCGTATATTAAACAGTAAGTACACCAGAAGTGTATTACACGACTAGTAAGAGTGTATCGAATGAACTAGCGCTCAATCTATTCGCAGTTCCCTGTTCCCCGAACCTTCTCTCCTACTAATCTTATAGTAGGCGGAAGAGTCTAACATAGACTTTTAAGAGGGAGGGCACCACAACAGTGAGTTTAGTAGAAAGAGCGTTGGAGAGCAGGATTATGAATTTTCTGTAATTGTTATTAAAAGTGTTATTTTTTATTTTTTTTTTTTTTTTTTTGTTGTTTTTTAGCTTTGTGGATTTTGTAACCTCGTTTTTTGCGTTGAGGATACATTGACGTAGGTTGTGGAGACGTTTGAAAGTTTTCCTAATATATCTCTTTTCTTCATTTAGATATTCCAGACTACATATTCTAATAGCACTGTGGTAGAATCCTATGACTAATCCAGATTTGTCTTTATTGCTAAGCTTAATAAATAGTAGGCCAACCTTAAAAACACAAAACAAAACAAAATTATTTCTTAAATCATTTTTGGGGACAGAACGATAAGCTAGGCACGTTTCTGAAATTGAATAAACGAAACAAATGTTCACTGATCCAGTACAAAAGCGAAGGACAATACTACCCGCACTGACCACAATCCTCACCCATTTACAAACCTCATAATAAAGCCATGAAAAGAAGATGTAGAGATTTCAACAGAAAGCGGGTCAGGCCGCTCCACTCCACTAACCATCAAAAAACTAATTAGGACACCTATTACAAAAAAGGGGAATTATCATTGGCTTTCTCTATCTATCTATCTATCTATCTATCTATCTATCTATCTCTTTTCTCTCTCTATCTCTCTTTTCTTTCCTCTCTCTCTCTCTCTCTCTCTCTCTCTCTCTCTCTCTCTCTCTCTCTCTCTCTCTCTCTCTGTAGATGATGCTTTTGGACGCCAAAGAAGGGAAATATTCACACACTCTGTGTGTGTAGATGATACCTGTCTGTAACAAAAAAGGGGAATTATCTTTCCCATCCTCCCCCTCTCTCTCTCTCTCTGTGTGTGTGTGTGTGTGTATGTGTTTCTATCTGTGTAGATGATGCCTTTTGGACGCCAAAGAGAAATATCTGTGTGTGTGTGTGTGTGTGTGTGTGTAGATGATGCTTTTTAGATGCCTGTCTGTAACAAAGGAGAATTATCTCTTTCATCTTCTCTCATCCTCTATCTCTCTCTCTCTCTCTCTCTCTCTCTCTCTCTCTCTCTCTCTCTCTCTCGTGGACCCTCCTTTGACTCTCTCTGACTCTGTATCTATCTCTATAGATGATGCCTTTTGGATGCCTGTCTATAACAAAGAAGGTGAATTCTCTCTCTCTCTCTCTCTCTCTCTCTCTCTCTCTCCTTTTTTCTCTCTGTATCTATCTCTCTATCTATCTCTGTAGATGATGATTTTGGACGCCTATCTATAACAAAGAAGGGGAATTATCTCTCTCCCTCTCTCTCTCTCTCTCTTTCTCCCTCTCCCCTACGCCTACGTACCGTGAAGTACAAACTCTCACAAGAATGATATAATTTTTATTCATAAAAACAAAAATAAATCTCATAAAACAACGTTCATTCAAATGTACAACGCAACAATTCACGCCAACCTCTACAAAGGAAATCAATCTGCGGAAACGTTTTTCAATAACTATTTATTTTTACGTACACATGTGGCCAGTAATTCAATTCTTTTTTTTCTTTTTTTCTATAAATTCGGATCATCTATATTTTGCTGTTTTTTCCAATAGGCAAAGGTGACATCTTTCTCCATTACCATAACAGGATTTAATTCTCTGCACCACTTCCAATTACTATATTTTATCTGTCAGTAAATATTTTGAGGAGGACTGTGTTGTTTCTGTAATTTTTTGTATTAAACCTCATTTTAGGTTTCATATCTTCAGGCTTACGGCCATATCACGTTTAAACACCCGTTCTTGTTCAATCACCGAAGTTAAGCAACGTCGAGCTTGATCAATACATAGATAGTTAAAGCATGGGAATTCAAGGTGCTGTAAGCTGTTTAACTACCCGCTAATCTTAAAAATTTAGGAAAATATTCTCCATAATCCAGTGTTTTATTAAATTTTACTTATTTTGGCTGTAACTTTACTATAGTTATCCCTCTTATTTTCTGATAATGTCGTGTATAAACTTTCGTATTTACAAAAATCGACACGTTTACACACAAAAATAAAAATTCAAAATTCTTTTTAAAGTATTGGGGGTCGATGAATTGTAGTAATCTTTTTTCATTTATGATTAGTAAATATATTCTTACTTAATAACAATCGTCCTGGGTAAGATGATAAACTGCAACCGCGCCCTGGGTAAGACGATAAACTATGTCCAACAGCAAGGCCTCTGATCAGAAGGTTTTGACTAGTGTGAAACCAGCTTTTAATTGCTCGTGCTCCCAGGCCAACCTGACCCGGTGTGTTAGCACCAGTCAGGGTCCCAGCTATGGGCAAATAGTTAACCCCTCCTCACCCCAACACACACAAAGGGGTCAGAAGACTATGAAAGTATAAAAATATGTTTTAATAGCAGTAATACATTTTTGGAAAAAATTTTACCAGCAATACATTTTTGAAGAAAAAAATTATTACCAGTAATAGATTAAAAAAATATATATATATATTACCAGCAATACATTTTCGAAAAAAAAATTAACGGAAATGAAAATCTTGTGGGCATTAAATAACCCATTGAGGTTGATATACCGTAAAACAAAATTCAAATTTTTAAAAATGAAACAATTCATCATTCATCTTTTCTTTCCTTAAAACAATAATGTCCATAATGTATCCTATTCAAATATATCAATTCAAAGCTTTTCTAATTAAATAATGTCTTAAATAATTGCATGTTTATTTTATGATTCAGAGCAGATAGGGGTCTGGTTTTGCAAAACGAAATTCACGATTTAAATCCTCCAAGGGGACCTGCGTGTAACTAATACAAACATTAAGCGTTACAAAAATTAATTTTTCGAAATTTCATAAAATGAAATAAAGGTAGGGGTGGGGCTAACAGAGGTAAACAAAAATGTTTTTATCAGAATTTTCTAAAAAAATAAAAAACCCATTTTTCAAATAATGTCATTCATTTGTGAATAACACCTGAAATTTCATTAAAATCCGATATTTATTTGATTTTTGCAAGAATTTCCAAAATGTATTTTTCACAGTAAAAAAAAAGGCGCTAAAATTTTGTATATTAATATTTCGTACTGACGCAAGAAAATACAAGATTTTTTAACCAAAATTTCAAACGTTCTAAAAAGATTTTTTTAAAATCCTTTGATCTTTCCTCGTAACAATAACATAAAGATTGTGATAATAAAATTATTTTTATTAAGTTTAGGCCATTATTTCATCATGGCATACTCATTTTTAACGAATCTGCGGAAATAACTACATATATATATATATATATATATATATATATATATATATGTGTGTGTGTGTGTCTGTCTGTCTGTCTGTCTGTTTGGTCTATTGCACATGTACTCTTACATTGAGTAACATAATTACAGTGAAAACAGATTCATATTAACATGTGGAAACATTTTCGTGCGACATGTTTTTTCCCTCAGGACTTCGTTAGACTAGGTTAAAATTTATGCTGATGCGACTACGCATGCGCACGACTGAGAGACGCTGAGAATTTAAAATTTAAAAATATATTTTTTTTAACAAGATAATGAGCTAATATTTGAAGAAGGGATTTACACTATTAGCTGTAATAATTGCCACAAGGTAGAAACCTTAAGTAATATGAGCACAAAAAGGAATTTTTATAAAACAGCACATAAAATGCATCTGTTGCTCACCGTAACGAGACTGGCCACAATTTTGCTACTCTAATTAAATAAAACAATTGATTGGGGCGAAAATATTTAGAAAGGAATTTAATCGTTTGATCAGCCTCAGTAAATTTGCATTCAGGTTCTTTGGACATTTCACCATTCTTGGCAGAACTTCTATTATCAGAATTTGGGGTATTTGACAGCTAAACTGATGGAAACAAACAAAAAGAAAACATGAAACAAAAATTGGTTATATTGTATACCCAGATAATTTTGAAATTCACGTCTGTCTTTTCCACTTTCTCACACTTCTTTCCCGTGAAATTGTCTTTTTTTTTATAAATATATATACTGTTTATATTACTATGTTATTTTAATTCACACAATTTATTTAAGTAAATGTACTATTAATTACATTTACCGGCTTGAATGTTCGAGAGATTTCGTAGAAAATATGTTCATCTCCGAACCTGTAATCCTGATAGGAACCATCATTTGGTTTGAGGCTAACCATTTAGTCACAGAGAAGCATCTGGTTAGCAGAGTCCAAATTACTGTTTATAAACAACAAATCTTTGACGATCTTTCCAGAACGATCATATCTGTTCAAATGACGGTTCCCGTTGGAGTTACAGGTTCGATTCCTGTCGGAGAAGACCATATTTACTACGAAATTTCTTGAATAATCAGACCCGTAAATGTAATTAATAATGTTTATTTAAAAAACAGAGCACTTACTTAAATAAATTGTGTTTATTAAAATAACGTATAAGAAAATATATTAAATAATTGTCAGACTTCATTCATTTCATTATTATATATATATATATATATATATATATATATATATATATATATATATATATATATAATAAAAAGGCTTAAACACTAATATTCCATGGTCATAATTTATTCCACTGGAATCGTAAATACGATCCAATTCATCAGACTTACAAATTCAAAAAGAAAACAGAAAAAACAACTCCGGGAATAAAAACTAAAATCTAATGAGAGTGTATATACTCTCACTAAATTTTACACTCCAATATAAACATTCTCAATAAATTACTTCATATGGGGAATAGGCTATTTAGGCAGACGAAAATATCGCTTGTCGGTCCTATCAACCCCAGTTCGGACTGAGATCGTGTCAGAAATAGAAATTTAACTTTGAAAAAAAAAGAAAATGTCGAAAACTCATACAGAATTTATCCATTTCAATGTTTCAGTCAATGCCTCATATATATATATATATATATATATATATATATATATATATATATATATATATATATGCATAAAAGTGAACATTGAAGACAACACTTAGAGTCGACAGTCTGCGAGACGCAATCGTGAGGCCACGAGTCTTGTTTCAACTTCAATACTCACTTTTATATTTACACACGCTCTATCTCTGATATTGAGCACTTTTATCCCATAAATATAACACCTTAAGAGTATATTACTTCATTTTCTGCATACCTACGCACTTATATATATATATATATATATATATATATATATATATATATATATATATATATTTTTTATTATGAAAGATTATAATAAAACATTTTAAATCACTACACAAAAGCTTTCATGTTTTAAAACAAGAATGTACTTCCTCAGGCGATATAACAGGTGATAAAATGATTGGGGGGGGGATTTAAAACAAATCATTACGTCTTTTCCGAAATTTAAAGTGTGGGGACATAAGGTCAGAATAAAAATAGTCTTGCGGGTATGCCTCGATTAACCAATTAAATATTAGTTCTATGCTAAAAAAAAAAAAAAATGCCAGAAGGTGGAGGTGGTTGAATATTTTTTTCATGTCAGGATAATCCCACAAATAGACATGGCATCATTGACAATTGTGGAGAAAATGGCAGGGACAAATGTATCGTGATTGTAGCCAAATATGAAACATTTGTTGAACTAGAGAGGGTACCTGAATTAGACGTAAAAGTTAACAGAATTTTTTTTATATTTAGGCAGCTTCTTAAAAGGGTGCTATTTTGTATTGAACACTTTTTTAAAAAGTACATGCTACGAACAGTGGATTTTTACTCTATTTGTTCTTTCTCTCATTTATATATATATATATATATATATATATATATATATATATATATGTATGTATGCATATGCATATATATATATATTTATATATATATATATATATATATATATATATATATATATATATTTGCATTTATGTGAGTATGTTAGCTCTATCACTGGTATTGAGGATTTCCAAAATAGCACACATATATATATATATATATATATATATATATATATATATATATATATATATATATATAAAATGCGTATTATACATATAAATATATATATATTTATATATATATGCATATATATGCAAATGTGTATGTATATGACTATAAATATATATACATGCAATTATATGTATGCATATATATATATATAGTTCAATACAACTATATATATATATATATATATATATATATATATATATATATATAGTTGTATTGATGTGATTATTTAGCTTTATCACTGATATTGAGCGCTTTCAAAAGTACCGCTGCATATATATAATATATATATATA